TAGTTATTGTTTCTGTACAAGTGGGAAATAATGCTCACATCTGAACATGTTTCAAATTTCGACCTACCCGGTGTTTTGTAATATTAGGTGAGACATTGCAGACAGACAACAAAGCTCAACGCAAGAGAGCAAAGGTAGAGCTAACGCGCTCTGTCTCGAAGGGAGAGTGTATGAGTGACACGGTAGAGGAGTAGATCGATCGCCTACAGTGTACTCTGAACGTACATACAAGTTTGCTGTGAAACAATGATTGGTTCCAGGTTGCATCGAAACAATCCAAGTTTACTTCCTTTTTTTAACTAAGGACAATTAGGCCTATGTTTTTATCCATGTTTTACTCACATTCAGTGTCCTAAACGTAACCCTTTTAATACATTATTTACATCAAATTCCCAAACGACTACCCCATATCCTCAACCACTCCCTCCCTTCCCCCCACCCCACCAACCCCCATTTCCCCTATGCTATCACACCTACCAAAATCCATGCCATCCCATCTTTCCGTACCCCATGCCCCTCACCCTACCACCTGCCCCCCCATTTTTCCATGCCTATAATCAATAATCCCTTGACAACTAAGGAAATTTGAAAGCTTTTGTTGCATTATTTTTGTTTCCTTTTTTCTCGAAACGAGCTCAAGGTGACTTAAACTGAAACAATTATTTTGATGACCCCTTCAATTTGTTTAATGAAATAGATCTATACCTAATTGATAGGCTACAACTTTCATGTACATAAGATTTAGGAAGCTTGTGATCAGTATGGTAAGATAGTAACAGCGAAGAGACGTAGGCTACACTTACTTTTCAAGAGACCAAAAAAGTCTGATTTTATCATTTACATTTTTTCAATACTCTAATATATATATATATATATATATATGTATATATGTATATATTATCAATTACAAGGTTACGTGTTTACTTGTGTTTAGATCGTTTAGATACCAAAGCGAGTTTGAAAAAAATCTTTACAACTGGCCTTTGTCTGGAGGACACTATTGAGACTATTGATACTGTACCAAAATCCTCATCACTCGTCACCTCTACAACCATCAACACATTTGTTGCACTTTTTTCTTCCGCTTTCTGTTGTCAAAACAGCCTAGTCAGGCTTTGCTGTTTTGTTTGTTTTGTTCGTTCTTTTGTTTTGTTCATTTATTTGGTTAAACACACTCCCCGGGGCGGTGCTACTGACTGAAGTGTCTTTAAGCCATTACCAAAGGGGGACATTAACATGTTCTTATGCACAGTAGAGTTGTAATAAATGTAGAATTCATCAATGTCATGCTCATAATTGTGCCTGAACTGCCTACGGGGAACTGCTGCTTTTTCTTTCCTTATTCTTACTATCGTCATTTTCCACTACTTCTTTTGCTTGTTTGTCACTCTCTTGTGACCAGCTATTTCCGGGGTGCCTTGATAGTCGAAACAGACTTTGTGCTGTTGAAGCTAGAGAGGTGAGCAGAGTAAGCCTGATTTCCAGTATGGACTTCTCTGTTGACATCCACCTGTTGGCGCTCATATGAACTAATGCAGTTATGAGCGCCGTAAAAACTCTACTTAAAAAACAACCGTTTACAGGCACTCGATGTCCAGTTTGGCCGTACAGTTAGGAAGGCACGCACTTTTTCCGAAAGTGAATAAATGAATGTTCTACCTTTAAACGTGAAACCATTATTATTTTGTTTATAGTGCCTTTAAAAATGATCATGTCACCTCATTATTTGAAACAATGTATGATTTATGTTGCTCAAATGAAACTGCACACTGCTTTTTTGTTCTTTGTTCTTTTTCTTTTTAGTTAAATTAGAATTCCGTAACGGCCAACTTTGTAAATTATGTGTTATGACGTGGTGGAATCAGGCTCTGGTCAATTTTTGCAGATGTAGAGTTATTGGTATTCATCTTAAAGCTTGTTCATTTGTCTTGCTTTGCATGAAAAAGAGTATCCATTTACAGTATCTTAAACTGAAGTCACGATATTTGCGAATGAAGGAGGTGGTGGTCACCTGGTTTCTGAGGTAAAATTAGTGAGAAAGGGGCTGTCAAAGATGAGTTTTCTCCTTAGCTTGCGAGTCCATGGAAACTGAAAATTTACTTTTTTGTGTGCCTTTAATCAACGTTTTTCAGTAAAATCCATACTGAAATGTTTAATTGGCATGAAAGGCTTTGAGCAAAAAAAACAAACAAAAATTAAATTTAAAATTCTCAAACAAACGGGAAAATGCCAGTTTCTTCTTTCTGATTATTTTGACGAGAGCCTGATTTCACCATGCAGCCTCACAATAACTGTACATGAACAAGATTAAGAAGCTAAATCTAATCCTGAATAATGTTCGTGAAAAAACAGAAGGCCTACAACAAAGACATGTTTTTTTTCTGCCATTTTACAAAATCATTGACACTTGTGTTTGGGCGCATGAAAAAGCACAACCATAATATTTTAAAATCTGAAGGTCATATTATGTGGTAATTGTGGCGTTACTCATATTTCACCCGCTGAATGCGAGCACTGTACATTTGTTTATCATGACCTTTTCTGCCCATGCTAACATACCTACTGACGATGTCTGATGTTATTCGATATTTCATTACTCGTCTATGTATTTATTCGTTTCATGAATAATAAAAACAAAATCAAAAAAGGGAAAATATAATGTTACTTTTATATTATTTTCCTTCCTGTTTGCTAGCCTGCGTGCACGCAGAGAGAGAGAGAGAGAGAGAGAGAGAGAGAGAGAGAG